GATTAAAAAGCAGAGTTCCTCTGTAGCCCCAGTGCTTGGGAGAGGGGTTTTGGATAAAGAAGGAAACCTGGAGCTCACTGGCTAACTTTCCTAGCCATTTGATGAGTTTCAAGTCTAGTGGGAGATGTGCTCAAATAAAGTAAAGAGGTCAAAAAAGACATCTGATGTCAACCTCTGGCATCCATATACAGGTGTACATACTTACACAAGCATACGCACATGACACACATTGATATTTGTGCAAACATTTACATGCAAATGTCTGCCACAGTGCCATGTGGTGGTGGTGCACACTCTTTTATCAGTATTTTTAAATTTTTAAATAAGAAACAAGTTTGCTTTACTGTCAATCCCAGTTTCCTCTCCCTCCCTTCCTCCCCTGGCCCTCACCAACCCCCTATCCCATGCCCTTTCTGCTCCTCACAGAGGGTGAGGCCTTCCATGGGGGATCTTCAAAGTCTCATATCATTTGGAGCAGGGACTAGACCCTCTCCCATATTTCTAGGCTGAGAGAGTATCTCTCTATGTGGAGTGGGCTCCCAAAGTCCATTCGTATGCTAGAAATAAATTCTGATCCATTACCAGTCGCCCCATAGATTAACCAGACCTCCAAACTGACATCCACGTTCAGGGGTTCTGGATAAGTCCTATGCTGGTTTCCCATGAACTCCTCCTTGTTCAGGTCAGCTGGTTCTGTGGGTTTCTCCACCCTGATCTTGACCCCTTTGCTCATTACTTATCCTTCTCTGCAACTAGATTCCAGGAATTCAGCTCAGTGTTTAGCTGTGGGTGTCTGCTTCTGCTTCCATCAGCTACTGGATGAAGGCTCTAGGATGACATATAAGGTAGTCATCAATCTCATTATCAGGGAAGGGCACTTAAGGTAGCCTCTCCACTATTGCTTAGAGTGTTAGTTGATATCATCGTTGTAGATCTCTGGACATTTCCCTAGTGGCAGATTTCTCTTTAGACCTACAATGGCTCCCTCTATTATGGTATTTCTTTTCTTGCTCTCCTCTATTCTTCCCCTGACTCAACCTTCCTGCTCTCTCATGTCCTCCTCTCCCCTCCTTTTCTCCCCTTATCTTTCTCCTAGCTCCCTCTTCCCTTCCCCTATGCTCCCAATTTGCTCAGGAGATCTTGTCCCTTTCCCCTTCTCCAGGGGACCATGTATGTCTCTCCTAGGGTCCTCTTTGCTTCCTAGTTTCTCTGGCAGTGTGGATTGTAGGCTGATAATCCTTTGCTCTACGTCTAATATCCATATATGAGTAGCACATATCATGTTTGTCTTTTTGTGATTGGGTTACCTCACTCAGGATGGTTTCTTCTAGTTCCATCCATTTGCCTATGAATTTCAAGATTCCATTGCTTTTCCCCACTGAGTAGTACTCCACTGTGTAATTGTACCACATTTTCTTTATCCATTCTTCAGTTGAGGGGCATCCAGTGGTGCACACTTTTAATCTCAGCCCTAGGAGGCAGAGGCAGCCAGATCTCTGTGAGTTTGAGGCCAGCCTGGTCTACAGAGTGAGTTTGAGGATAACCAGGGCTACACAGAGAAAACTTGTCTCCAAACAAAACAAAACAAAAGTCTGTAACATCACTGTTTACAAGTCAAAAAAGAGTAAACAACCCAACACCATCAACTGATGGATGGATAAACAAATGGTAGAATATCCATGCAAGAGAATGCTATTCATCCATGAAAAGTAATAGAATTCTGAGACATGCTGCCGCATGAATGAATCTAGAAAACACAAAACTTGGACAAACTCACAACCATGAAAAGGCAACATGTTCAATGATTCAATTTCTATGAAATGTCTAGATTAGACAGAGGCAGAAGGGAATCTTGGGAATGAGGAATGGGTACCTAGTGGATAATAAGCTTCTAGACGTACACGATGGATGTTTTACCATGTTGTAAGTTTGCTAAGTTTAGCTGAATTGCATGCTATTAAATGGTTAACATCACCATTCTGACTCTTTTAAAGTTCCTGTTAGAGGAATTTTGCCTTAATTTAAAAAAAATTATAAAACAAAGGAGAACTCAAGCTCTGGTTTCACTCTGCCATGCAAGCTCCTTTAGTTTTTGTTTAGTGTTGTTTGGTCTTGCTTGAGACTTTTTGGAACTAAGATCTCATGTAGCTCAGGTTAGCCTCCAACTTGCTATGTAGCAGAGGACAGCCTTGAACTCCCAATACTTCTTCCTCCACCAACAAAGTACTGAGATCACAGGTATGCAACAGTATCCAATATCACCTTTGTAAAATGACTGTGGTAACTTGAATGAGAAATGTGCCCCATAGGCTCATGTACTTGAACATCTGGTTCCCAGCAGGTGGCGCTGTTTATGAAGCAATAGAAGCTTTGGGAGGGGCAGCCTTGCTGGAGGAAGTGTGTCACTGGGGATTTATAGTCTTGCTCTACATCCTGCTCTTTCTCTGCTTCTTGGATGTAGTTGAGGTATGAGCCACCAGCTCCCTGCATCTGCTTTGACGCCTCCTCTACCATTGTGGACTCTAACTCTCTGGAAACTTGAGCCCAAATAAACTCTTTTGTAAGATGCCCTTGGCCATGTTTGGTATTTTATCACAGCAACAAAAACCTGGCAAACACAGATGACAACCAAACATGATAAACAAACTTGGGTTGGACCCTAGACCATAAACAAAATAGGTATAAATGGCATGATTTGGACAGCTAGGAAGATTGCAATAAGAACCTGGGGAAATAAGAGCTCTGTAGTATTTATGCTTTCATATTTCTTAATAAACCAACTTAGATTGGAAAGGGTAGCCCTTGTTCTCAGGGAATACTCCATGAATGTCTGTAAAGGAAGATAAGTCACAGCTACAAATAACCTTGGGTTCTCTAGGAGCAAAAGATGTGTGTGTGTGGGAGTGTGTGTAAGAGTGTGAGTGTGTGAGAGTGTGTTAGTGTGATCTGTATGAGTGTGGGAGTTCGTACGAGTGTGCATGTGTTTGAGAGAGTATGTGTGTGTGAGAGTGTATGAGTGTGTGTTCTGTGGGAGTGTGTGCATGGGCGTGTGTGAGTGTGTGTGAGCATGTATTTACATATAGACACATCCACTCACATGTACATATTTACACACAGAGATAGCTGTGTATTATGTGTACATCGTGTATGAAAGAGACAAACAAATCATAGAGGTTCAAAGAGGATTGTTAAGTTGCAATAAAGAGTATTTGGGTATTGTACTCACCATTTTTGCTATAAATATGAAACTATGTCTATGTTCGTGTGTGTATCTGCAGGGTCATGTGCAGTGTGTGCATGTGGAGGCCAGGCTCACCCTCAGGTGCCATTCCTCAGGTGACCCCCCCTTCCCTTTAGAGACTGGGTCCCTCACTTGGCCTAGAGCCCATCTTGCCCAGCAAGCCTCGAGAATTGCCCAGGCTGCCTCTCTGGTGCTGGAATGACAGCTGAAGTCACTGCTCTGGGCTTTTGTTAGCTCCTTATGCTGGCACCACACACGTCACCCACTGAGCTATCTCCCAGCCTCTCGGGGGATGTTCTAAAACAAAGGCCTAAAATGGGGCTGGGAGATAAGTCAGTGGGAAAGTGTGTGCTGCAGGAGCATGGGGGCCTGAGCCTGGATCTCTGCTGCCCACTTTAAAAAGTTGGGCATGAAGCCGGGCGGTGGCGGCCCATGCTTTAATCCCAACACTCAGGAGGCAGAGGCAGGCGGATCTCTTCGAGTTCGAGACCAGCCTGGTCTCCTGAGCTAGTTCCAGGACAGCCTCCAAAGCTACAGAGAAACCCTGTCTCGAAAACAAACAAACAAAAATGGTGGGCATGGTAGCACTGCGCCTGGAGCCCCAACACTCAGACCGACCTCAGGGCTTGGTGAGTGTGCACAAGTGGGTGGCCAGCAGTCTAGCCAAATCCAATTTGCAATCCTCCTGCCTCCCCACCCTGAGTACTGGGATCATAGGCCTGTGCCCCCACACTGGCCCATCACATCCCATCATGCTGAGGCAACGACTCCCTTAACAGACCCAGTTGCTAATATGCATCCAATTGTCTAACTTTATTTTTTCAAATGGTTAACCGACTAGTCCAGCACTATTTATTAAATAATTTATGTTTCCCCCACTGATTTGAAATGCCACTTTCATTATATAATAAATGGCTATGCACACCTCAGTTACTTTCCTGCGCCGGCTCATTTGTTTAATTATGCCGATTTTACTGTTTTGTCTTATTATATAAATCTACAATGCATTTTGGCTTACTCGTTCACTCATTAACGCACTAGGCTGTTTTTGTTTGTTAGCTTGCTTTTGTTTTCATTTTGAGAAAGGGTCTCACATAGCTCAGGCTGGCCTTGAACTCCTGATTCACCTGCCTCTACCTCCCAAGTGCTGGGGTTACAGGTGTGCACCACCATGCCCAGCTTTTGTGGTGCCGGGATAGACCTCAGGGTTTGGTGCCTCCTCAAAAGTGCTCTACCAGCTCAGCTGCAACCCCAGAATGAAGCAATTTATTAAACAAATCTGATCTGAGTCTGTCTGTGGATGGGAGCTATTTTAGAACAGATTGGACAGTGGGCAGTGGTATGCCTCTGGACATCTGCATTTAAATATCTGACCTTAGAAGTTCCTCCTGCCCTGATCAATTTCATTTATTAAGATGTTCTTAGCCGTTCTTGTCTATTTATAACTCCCAATGAACTGATGTTGCAAGAAAATACATTTGGGATTTCATTGGAACTGAATTAAATGTATGGATTAATCTTAATGGAATTGACAATTTTTAATCTTCTTTTCCACCGACCCAGCCGGCCGTGTTTCTATGCAGTCAATTCTCATTTTCATGTGAAGTTTTCGCCTCACGCATTTATGACCGAACTTGTTCTGGGATATTTTCTCTTTGTTGCTCTTTTGAATGTTATCTTTTCCCCATCATACATTCCCCGTGATTAATGTGGGTACACAAGAAAGCCATTGATTTTTTAATATTTCTTTTAAGTCAGCATTTACAGAATTCCTGATTAATTGTAATAGTTCCTGCTTGTTCCTCCAAATTTCCTAGGTAAATAATCGCATAACGTGAATTTTCCCTTTACTTTATTTTTATCTTACCATATACATATGATAATATGACATATGTATATAATGTGTCTATTTCTTCTTGCATTAACCAAGTCAAGATTTCTGAGGCATAAGGAGCAATACAAAACACCAGTTTCCCCAGGGGAAGCAATCTTGATGAGGAGCTCTGGGCAATTTCTGTGGTGTAAACACTCCCATCTTCAGCTGCCAATGTGATGTCACTAGATGTGGAATTTATAAAGGGACGCATGCCTCAACCATGAGGTGATCTCCAGGGAAGAGCACACATACACAGAAACACAGTTACCAAAAGAAAAATTGGAAAATGCACACACACACACACACACACACACACACACACACACAACAGGAGACAGGTTGCAATGGGCAATTTGAGGGGTCACCTCAGTAGCACTGAGAGTGCCTGGGACATATCCCACAAGGCATCTGTTTGGTGCAGAAGGGTGGAACTGTCATTACAAGATTGCAAGATCCCCCGATGCTTTGGCTCCCATCACTGCCTAGCCCTCCGAGTCCTGTCCACCCCCCATCAGTCTTCCCAGCTGATAATCGGAGCTGAACTGTTTTTCCCAAAGTTCCGGTGTTGTTCATTTGGTTCCCCAGCTGGTGGCGCTATTGCTAGGTGGATGAGCCTTTAGGAGGTGGAGTCTATTTGGAGGAAGTAGGTCATTAGGAGACTTTGAAGATTATATTGGGACTCTGAGAACCCCCACCCCACTTGTTGGCTCCCATGAAATGGCCCCTTCCTTTACCACGGGGTCTGTCATGATACCTCAGACCAAAGCAATGGACGCCAGCTGGCCACAGGGTCCAAATCAAACTTTGCTTCTTTTCAATTGTTTGCCTTGGGTATGTGTCCAGGCGACAAGGAGGCCACAATCACTCCGACCTCCTCTGTGCTCCTCAACCCCTTCCCCAGGACTACTACAGTTACAACTCCTCCAGTTGAACCAACATCCTTCCTGCAGGCAGCCACTAATGCCTCCTCTTAAAGGGTGGGGCTTCTTTTGCTCAAGCTAGCCACGCCAGGACCAGACTGGGGCCCTGGCCTGTCCCGGTGCCTCTCATCAATAAGCTCTGTGCCTACAGACTGAGCAAACAGGAACCCTGAGTCTTCATCGCTTATCTGTTCCTCCCTTCTAGACCACTGCTTAGAATACCTAGTGTCCTCTCCTACCCTTCACCAAACCATGGCTTCCTTGGTCACCAACAGTGCCACCTTGCTGAGACATGTGACCCTTGTCTGGCTTTCAGTCCTCCCCCTCCTCTTGAGACCCTCCTTACTCTAACCCTGTCCCCTCTCTCCACCCCCCCCCAGGATCCTTCAGGATGCCCCTACCCATGACCCGCCCTCTTCCTCAGCCAGCCAGGCCTGTAAGGCCCGGCGTTCAGCTCACCGAGACGCTGCTTTACCCATGGCAGCTAACCTGAAGCTTATCTGAAGCTCCCCTTCCACCCTGGCAGGAGGAGGGCTGACAGTGGCATGCTAACACCAACCTTGGGGCACAGGCTCCCTGGGCAGGACTTGATGGAAACACTGGATGAACTTGACCCGTGGTAGACGGTTTTGCCATTGTCCTTGGTCCCCTGGAGAGAGAATGCTACAAAGAAGAGGAAAAGCCGTCGAATGCCACGTGGTCTGTGGGACCTGCTGCAGCCCTCCCCTCACTGGGGGAGCGAGAGTTTCTGTACTCAGGTCAGAGTTGGGCGGTGGGAGTCCCCTCTCCATCAGCGTGGAAACTCTGCTCTCGGGCCTCTGTCACCAAGGCCTATATTAAGAACATTAAATGTCAGCACAGGTGCTTGAGCTGCAAGGGGAAAGGCGGGTGAGTCGCTGGTGTGTTGGAGGGAAGAGACAAGTCAGGAGGTAGAAAAAGCAAGGAGGAGGCAGAGAGGGTGGAGAAGCCCAATTCAATGGATTAGGACCTGTGTCGTGGCGGGGGGGGGGGGGGGGGACAGACAACAGACCTGTAGGGACGGGGTTGCGGGAGCCTAGTAGGCTCAGGGTGAGGGCACAGCTCAGGCTGTAGGAGGTTCCCTGCCCCTGGAACCTGTGCTCCACACCCCTGCAGTGACTCACTCACTGAGTGAAAGGGTTTGGGCTAAGAGCATCTCTCAGGAAAACAGACTGTCAAAGGGACCCCCTGTTGCTAAGGGAACAGCCTAGCAAGAGATGAAGTCACTCCTCAGAAGGCAGGCATGAGGTTCAGAAGGGGCCTGGAACTCCATGGAAGTCTGCACTCCATGGAAGTCTGCACCACTCCATGGTGGTCCCTGGGCTTCAGAGCCTGGGTGGGCGGAGACCCTGCCTTCCATGACTGGCTGCTCATTAGCCCAATGGTTGACCAGGATCCAAAGGCACAGGGTCTCCGGAGAGCCTAGAGGGGCAATCCAGTACCAAAGGGGTCCCAGCACTCCAGGCTGCCCCCGCATGGGAGGACATTTGGGATTTCACATGAGGTGAAAGTGACTCGTGAAATGGTTTCGATGAAATCCAGATGAAGACAGCTTTAAGCTGATATGAGACTAGAAGCCCTTAGGATGGCAAGAAAGCCACTGTCTCAGTTAGGGTCCATACTGCTGTGATGAAATGCATGACCCACGCAAATCAGGAAGGAAGCGGTTTATTCAGGGTTGGCTTCCACATCACTGAAGGAAGACAGGTCTGGAGCTCAAATGGGGCAGGAACCTGAGGCAGGAGCTGAAGCAGAGGGAGCTGCTCACTGGCTGGCTCCCCATGGCTTGCTCAGCCTGCTTTCTTATAGAACCCAGGACCACCAGCCCAGGGGTGGCCCCACCCACCATGGACTGGGCCCTCCCCCATCAATCACCAATTAAGAAAGTATTCTATAGCCCAGTCATATGCAAAGCTTTTTCTCAGCTGAGGCTCTTTCCAATGACTCTGGCTGTGTCAAGTTGACACAAACCCAGCCAACGTAGCCACTAACGTTTGGACACACCTGTCCCTGGCCTGGCACCATGAGGATGACACAGAAAGCTTTGTGACACACGGAGGTGGCTCCTCTCCAGGGAGTCTGACGTCATCTGCTAGGAAAAACCCAGGACGGTGTGGTCTTTCAGCACTATACCCACAAGGTGCTCATGGGCCATCAATGCTGAGGACCATGGGGTATGGCCCTCTGTCTAGGCATCCTGAGGAACTACGTTCTCATTGTGTTACTTAGTCACAAGAGGAGGCCATGTTGGCATTACACCCCTAAAGAGGGGGGCATTCATGGGAGGAGCCACTGAAAAGGAGCCTTGGCACGGGGTGGAGCAGACCAGACAGCAAAAGCGAGTCCCTGCTGCCATTCCCACCCGGTAACCCGGGGCCAGCCCCTCTCAGGCCTTCTGCTTTGGCGTTAGTCTACAATAGGGAGTGGGTGTGGGGAAGGTCTGGAGAGGGGGCCGCACACAGCCGTGCGTGGCACAAGACTCAGTAGTGATCACATGTGATCTTGAATTCATGCCCCTTGGAGGACGAAGCAGCCCAGCGCTTACCTGGCACAGGTGCCAGCTTTGAGTGCCCACGGCATGCATCGTGCATCACAGACATTTGCTCTCAGGACATGCTGAGTGCCTGGCCCACAGGTGGCCAGCCTGGCCCTGCCCCACAAAGCCTCCAGTCTTAAGACTGGGGAAGAAAAGCCACAGGGGCGATGCAGGCTGCTGGGCCCAGGCACTCTCACTGGGGCCTTCCCAGCTCCCTGCGGGTTCATCCCCGGGGCTTGGCCCTCTAGGCTTTAACACCCTGCCCCCTACGCTGCCAACTCCTGGAAAGTAATATTGATAACCAAGTCCTTGTCACTTGCTGGACTCTGGGCTTAACCAGACGGGCACTGTGCCAGTCACACTCACAGCCCTGGGAGTGGGAGATCTACCTCAGCCACATCTCACAGCTGAGGGGACAGGCCACACTGACGCTCTTGCGTGCATCTAAGACATGCCCCACCCCCACTGCACCTAAGAATCTGTCGTAATTGCCCCCCATCCATTCTCCATTCTCTTTTCCTCTTTGGCCCGTGATGGAGCCAGTGCCTCTGCCCTCAGGAGGAGGTGGAAGCCACAACTGGCTTGCACTCTAACTGGGGTCTTGCCAGCCTGTGCTCTGGCTCAGAGAGGTCTTGCTGGCCAGCTCTGTTTGGCCCCGTGTGTAGAGCCCTTCGGGATATTGCTAAGCTGGGGAGGTCACTCCAAGTCCCCAGCGTTTGCTCCCCACCTCCAGGAGCCACTGGGAAAGGCCAGGGAATCATAACGGGCCAGTTCAGAAGTCGGAACCACCACAAAGTGCAAAGCTCTGGACTTGGTGGTCCAACAGAGGCCCAGCGAAGTCCTTGAGGAGAGGGAAGGGGGAGCTGCTGTCCCGGGGTTACCATCTGGGCAGCAGGGGTCAGAACAGCACCTGTCTGGGTGCAGCCCCAGGAGATATCTGCTGCTCCCATCCTATATGCCATACCTGGTGGCCTCCAGCTCGCACAAGCCAGACCAGTTCTCCTGCCTGTCATACTGTCCAAGCCACAAAGCCCAGGAACCCTACTGCGCACCGTGCCCAGACACAATGGGTGGCTCCAGGAGCTGAGGTCTAAGACAGAAGGAGGCTTCCCAGTTCAGAACCCAGTGCTGGGTAGGGCGGTCTGAAGACCAGAATGTGGCCAACAGAAGTTCACACAGATGGTGACATGGGCAGGCTCCGGTCTGAGATAGGCTGCCACCAAGAAGGGCTGGACTGGGGGTCTCAGTGACCCTTCACTCGGGCTCTGGACAAAGGTTTTGTCAACAGGCGTGTACAGACTCAGGTTGCCCTGAGTACAGTCCACTTCCACCACCTGCTGTCTGGGCCACGCTGCTGAGTCTGTTCTTGCGCCTGTAAGGCGTGAAGGAAATGCCCCCCTCGCAGGACTGCGCTGAGGATGCAGCCCACGGCCTCCGAGTCAGCACGAGGGAATTTGGCGGGAAGGAAGCAACATCACGGGACACTCGGGAAAGCTCTGGGATGTGAGGGTTACACAAGTCTCCATCATTCCAGACGCACAGGGCCATGGGAGCAGCAGCCAGAAACTGAACAGCTGTTTCCACAGGACAGGACAGAGTCCGGTGTGGCCTCCAGGGTCTGAAGCAAGGAAAGGAAGCCTGCATGTCCTGTCACATAGACACACGTAGATGGCTGTATCAGATGGCTATAGCCTTGTAACAAGTTACCCGAATCTCAGCCACTTTCGGTTGCTGAAGCAATGTCTATCTTTAGCGAGCACTCCTCCTGCCCAGAGTCCAGTCAGAGCTGACTAGTTTCTGTTACAAGCTTGGAGACTGGTTAGTTGTGAGCTACTCAAGGACATCCTTGGCGGGGACAAGGGGCCCTCCCCCAGGGTGCTCTCCTCTGCCGATCTACGGTTAGAGGGGGAAGATGAATCAGCCATTTCTGCAATCAGTTTGCTGCAATGAGCGAGGGTCAGATTCCTCTTCTGACTCATTGTCTATTTGCTGTGTGAGATTATGCCATTCCCTTCCCTTCTCTGGGTCCGTTTCTTCGTGGACAAACAGGTCAAAGCACTCACCGAGAAAAATATTCTGAGAGCCAAACCCGTGCCTGGTGGTGGAAGAGATGACAAGGGCGGGTTTGTCTGCTCCTAAGGGTCTGACAGCTCCCCACTGTGCCTGGGACTGCAGGGGCCCGGCTGGGGGTCCCTCCCACCCCTCATCTCGCCCCCCCAGCCCTCCTGCCGAGAACTCTTCAGCACCAGGGGGTCTTAAGGATACTTAAGTCGCAAACTATGTGTTGATAATAAAATTTGCCTGCCTCTCACAGACATCCAATTTGCTTACCATCCAACGAGAGGCACTGGGCTCCGGCTTCTAAAATTGTTTTAATCTCTGCCACTGAGCGCTTCTGGCAGGTTCTTCAACTGGAAAATAGGAAATGAGTTAGAAACAATGGAGGGTCTTGAATAATCTCACTTAAGATGTTTGATCTATCTGGGGAGGAGGTGAAGTTGAAATCCATTTCCTGGTTCACAGCCAGACACAGAGGGCGGGAGGGAGGGGAGTCGCCTGGGGAGGTGAATAACCTGGGCCTCACGGGGTCAGCTATGGCCAAGACAAGCACTCCATACCCTCTTGGTGTCTGCGCAACCCTGGAAAACCCCCAACGACAATCCGGGTGCCCCCTGAAGGTGGGTGTCTCTTCTCTGTACAGACGGACTCGACCTTTAGATGCACAGATTTGTCTGTGCCACGGCTTGTCTCCACCACCAAACTCAGACCTGAATAAACACAGTTCCCGGCAGTAGAGATGGCTGGCGCAGTAGGTAACGGCGCTCACTATACAAGCACGGGATCCGAGTTCAAAACTCTAGAACCAAGTAAAAAGCCGATTGTGGATTCGTGTGTCTGGCTGGCCACCAGCCTGGCTCCAGGTGCAGCGAGAGACCCTGTCTCAGGGAATAAGGTGGAGAGTGACGGAGCAGGACTCCTGACACCCTCCTCTGGCTTCCACATGAGCGCACACATGCATAGGCTCTGCCCACATCCCTCATACGAGTGAGCAGAACACACACACACACACACACACACACACACACACACACACACACACACACACACACACACCACTCCTAGTACAATCCATCCAGGACCAGGAAGGCACGGTAAAGATGACACATTCATGCCATTACTACATCTTCGCAAGACCTGGCAGCCCATGGCTCTCAAGACCTCCTTTCAGATGTGACAATGTGCACAGAGCATGTGAGGACTCCAAGGACAGGAGCAGCGGCACCTGTGGGTCTGAGCGCTCTCTGTGGGTGGGTCCTGTCGAGGCAGGTGTGGAAGAGTACCCTGAGCAGAGAAGAAACCGAGAGGAGCAGGCTCCCCACTAAGAAGGTCGTCACTGCTTCTAACCTGCTCCACGTGGATGAAGAGTGCTACTTTCAGCAAGAAACTCTCAAGGCCAAGGCAGGCAGAGGGGGGTTCAACCCTGACCTTTACCAAGACACATGTCAGGCAAACACACGGACACTGACCCACATCTCATGCGGCATCAGGATAGGGAAGCTAGCACTCATATGTGCTCTGAGGGGCCCCATGGCTCTCGCTGGCCACTCTGTCCCAGCAAAGCACATGGCTTGGAAGGAAACCAGGCCCCTGGGTAATG